AATATTACTCTTTTAAAGCGGAAAATATAGCGAAACAACAAAAATGCTGAGAACTTTGGCAATACACGTGACGTCACAGATTGCAACTAGGTTTAGACTGTGACGTCAGGAAGTTTCCTATCCAGTTATTTTACAATCCATGGTTATATTTATTTGCTCTTTGACTAAAATGTTCAGCTGTATTATTGCTAAACATGCCGTTTTTGAGAATTTGGTTTGCAACTAGGTTTCAACGCCATCATCCCATTGAAAACATTAGGTCACGTCATGCTAGTTTCCTATCCATGTATTTTATTATCCATGATAATACCATGGATAATAAAATAAATGGATTGGAAACTAGCTGACGTGACCTAATGTTTTCAATGGGCTGATGGCGTGGTTGGATGTCCCAACCTAGTTGAAAACCAAATTCTTAAAAACGGCATGTTTAGCAATAATACCATAGGCAGCCCACAAATGCGTGTTGAAATTTTTACCCTCTCGCGTGGCGCTCGGGCATGCATCGAGTCTACTCAGTAAACTATTATGACATAATAATAAACTGAGTAGACTCGATGCATGCCCACGCGCGAGGGTAAAAATTTCAACACACATTTTTGGGCTGCCTATGATAATACAGCTAAACATTTTAGTCAAAGAGCAAATAAATATAACCAACGCCATTCTACGATGAAAACTCCTAAGTATTCCCAGTCAATTTTAGCAAATATTTCAAGCACTAAACGGTGAAAAATACATCGCAAATTTCGTTAAAATTTGTGACGCCAATTTCGTAGCTACAAATGTAAAAAAATACACTGAAACAAAGACGAAAAACATTTACTTTGAATACTTTCTCGTGGCTTAGGCATGTTTTTTAAAACAATTAGACCAGTTTATGCTTCAATATCACCCGTTTAAATTGGAAAATATAGCAAAATAACAAAAATGCCGAGAACTTTGGCAACATTCGCAATATGCGTGACGTCACGTTTTTCAACAAGGATGAGGTCAATGACGTCAGAAGTTTCCTATCCAGTTATTTTACAATCCATGCTAATACACTGTCTATACAATAATGTCTATTGAATTCATAGTGAAATCTACATGAGCTGCTAATAAATGAAAGTGAAATTACCTTCACTGCTGAATTCAAGGAAAAGCAACAATGAGAATACTTTGAACTTTGGCGGCGCCAGGAACATATTTTAATAATTACTTGTGCCACAGAACACAGGGCGCGCGAAAGTGTATACTCGGATAAATTACATCTACTCTGATGTCTCTCTTTGTCTACATATAGAGCTGTATTTTCAACAAAAAGTACGACAACACTTCACTCCGCGTGTTCTACGGAGGAAGCACACGCTCTTATGGCCATGGTGTTTGCAGTCGATGGTATTTTACATTTGATGGCGCAGAATGTACAAAACCAGCTGCTATTGAAGGTGTTGTTTACGTTAAATCGACCCAAGTCGAACCACTTCGTCACCGCCATATTGAAGGCTACTGTAACCAGGTTCCTAAAGGTCACGTGCGTGTGGGGTTCTGGATAGGCAAGTGTGCGACTCATAGGCTCGGAAAAGGTAATTCTGGTTGGAATTCCATGTCTCGTATTGTGATTGAAGAAGTACCACCTCCTCAAGAGTAAATGAAAGTTCAACTATTACTAAGACTGAAGGGTCTAAGTATAAACTACTCTACCATACTACATTTGTATCAGTATTATAATTATACAGTATCTGCACTAATATGTGAACGAAAAATCATTACTAGTTAATGTATCTGTGACCATGCATATATACCCTGCACCATATAGAATGAATTACTTTTTTCCTCACATTTTTAGTTTCTGTTGACTGTTATCGATTTAATTAACGTTTTAAACACTGCAGGAAAATTAAAAGAAACCACAAACTGACCAAATATGTAACTATATATATTCGAAATGTTTTTAAAAAATATTTCGAATATATAGTTACATATTTGGTTAGACTTTTGGTTTCTTTTAATTTTCCTGCAGTGTTTGTTATCAATATTTTTATACACCTATAAATAATATACAGTTCTATTTTATCACGACCTTCATGAAGGACCGATCCTTACCTCATGACGCTAACTTTTCTGCAAAAAACACTCCTACCCGTGTTTTAAATAGTACCGTAACAGAACTCGTGTGAAGCAAAATGGCGGGTGTAAATATACAATGTTACTACGATAATTTTACGATAAATTACCACATTAACATATTAATTCTTCACTTAAACGTTTGTTGGCACTTTTTTGTTGGTTGAATATTTTTGAACAAGGTATGCATTTGTTTTGTATTTAATTCACTTGAAAATTCGATGAAAATATTTTTACCATTGCAATCATAAACATTCAGTCTACTTGTATAATGTGGAAGGGATATGAATGTTGTAGGTGGAATTAATGACGAGGTAAGATAATGGCTAGATTTTCCTAATATAAAGATGTTCACGCTTTGTTTAAAAACGCTTAATAAATTATGTAATATGCAACTGCATGCATCCACTCGTGAGGTTCATATATGTATATGTTTGCCCAAAGCGGACAAATTACGAACAGTGAAAAACTTCATCACAGCTTCAAAGAGCATCACAAAATTAGTAATGTTCCGAAGTTTCGTTGCGAAATGTTGTAAAATGCGGATAATATAACCCTGCGAATTTGCCGTTTTTCAGTCATTTTGTATTACGCACGGAAAATTGATACCTTTATCACTTCCACGGTGCAAGCAATGCATAAAACCTAAACTTTAGCGGCAGGCTAGAATCTAGAATATGTTTTGACGGCAATTTATCAGCCTGTGCAGGAGCACAATGCCGATTTAATGATTAACACAAAAATAACAAATTACAGATAAATGTTACAAATTTAGTATTCATGCATAGCACGGAAAAGGTGGGGTGTTAAAAAACGCCCCATATACAAAAACCGCCGGTAACATGTATCGTAGCGGACGCAAAATGAGGCAAGGGAGGGCGGGAGGGAAAGGAAGACTCGTGAGGAATTGAAAACTTGCCTTGCGAAGGAATTGAAAACTTGCCTTACCTTTTTTCAGAAAGCGGTATCAATTTCCCGTGCGTAATACAAAATGACTGAACGGCAAATTTCGCAGGGTTATATTACCCGTATTTTACAACATTTCGCAACGAAACTTCGGAATATTACTAATTTTGTGATGCTCTTTCAAGCTGTGATAAAATTTTTGGCTAGACTTGTCTAGTCAAAATTTTGTTCATTAGGGAATAGGTCCATTATTATGCTGTTAATTAAACAGCTTAAAAAATGGAAAAATGAACATTATACAAAGTTCAGCATAATTATATTATTGAATGTTTGTTTGAAAGATAAGAATGGTCGGTTGTCTATATAGCGCAGTCAGAGGTGCAATGAAGCATCTGACAGGCAAGCTTGCAAACCCTGTTTATAACTGAACAATTAAATTGAACAAATAACATGAACAATTAAAACAATTGTCACAATGGATCGTTTCAGCTCCGATGTAGGATGTAATAATAGCCGGTTTTGAATTTTGCTCTACGACAACAGGATGTTCTAGAGAGTTCTTCGTTTCAGTTAGGACTTGACCGTTTAACCCCTTATCAGTGAACAGTTGCAGATTGACAAGACGTTTGGTGGACCAAAAAGCCGTATCAGTTTTCATATTCTTCAAGATCGTGGACGACGTAAGTTTTTTATTTCGTTCTTCAGTGGCTAAAAATAAAATATTTGTTACTGATCATTCATCATTTTAACATAAAAACACTTCATCATTTTTACATTTTTATTGATTTCTACTGAGGGGCTGGGGAGATCTTTCGATCGCTCCAGGTTTTTTCGAGAATATTAAAATGCTACCGAAATATAACTAAAAATGGTATAACCACTAATTTTTTTGTCGCGTAAGTTATAATTGTAATTCACAATTGATGTGGATAAGTGTAAAAGTGTGATACTCAATACCGGAAGTTTCTGAATACTGTGCATGTGTTGCAGCTTGTTTGTTGCATCTTTTATCATACTTTATACAGCAATCATCATATATAGATGGCTCTGTAGTGTTGTTTTCATTATACATTTGCGTTTCGCCGGCCATATTAGCAAGTTTTTCTGTCGGGTTTCTCGCGTGCGTGTTGTGATAAATTGATGAGTAAATGACACCGAAAAATCTCGCGAAAACACACTTTGATAAGTTTCCATTTATGTTGTGGGTTAAAAGTCGTGTATCGTGCTGAAAACACATTTTTTCACAAAAATATTATTTTAATATCTTTTTTCTCACTGAGTCTGACTGGGAATAGCTTTTATTTTTACTTTTGCTCTTTAAGTTGCCGTACTATTGAACAATTTAAAGCAAAGAATCTCCAGTAATACAATAAAATGCATGGTGTTTCTTACTTTCTTGCTGTTATCTATATCAAACGTTGTATAATACCACCAAATATAGCGGGCGTATTTGCTTAGGCATCATGTAAAGTTTAAGGTGGCTCGAAAAGGTTTTTTAAAACTGGAAAATTCACAATTTAGATGCATATTTTTGAAATATTACTTGTTGAAAAACAAAACTAAATAAAACGTACCTTACTTGTTATAAGTATCAAAAAGCATCTTGCTTTTTTTATTGCCAGGAACCATTTGGAGATACTAATTTGAGATGGATTCTAAATTTGTGATTTTCTTGTTCTGTGCAATCTTTATGGTTGAGACAGGGGTCAGAGGTGAAACTGAATCCAAAGGCAAGGTAGGATTCTCCTTATCCTTGTTATTATATAGTTAAGCTTGTAAGTATTAGTTTTTAACAGGCCAAATAATTGTTAACTGCAGTATATGGGAATAAATAAAGCATTTTAATAGAGTGACAACACGCAAACGCTACAAAATATTTTGGTTGCAGTGACAAACCTAGTATACCAGGGGCGACGCTGAAGGAAAGAAACACTCCCCCCCCCCTCCCCCTCAGTCCTCAGGTAGTTTGCAAATTATTGAATCCCAGTCGGTAAATTGTTTTCGTAGTCGGCAAAACATGAATTGAATAGGAAAGAAAAAAGTAAAATATTTGAAACCATAAATATTTAAGCCCCAGAATCGTGAAAACCATAAGCTTTCACATTAAGAAATTAAAGTTATGAATTAACGTCATATATACTTTTGGCAGTACGTAATACTCAATGCGCGCAATAATTACGCAGAACACTGCATGCCTTCTTTTCTCCGTAATGTCAAACTTGTGGTCAACTGAGAAGTTGTGGTCAAACAATATGGTCATCTAACAGCCATTACTAATATGAATATATTAATTCCAAATTCCTTTCAATTGTTGCAAAGCAGTGGATAACATTAACAAATATGACAATGCAGATAAACCTTACTCTTAAATTAATTATAAAGCTGTGACCAACCTCGTTCCCAGGGAAGAGCCTGGGAACGAGGTTGAGCTGTGGCAAGTGTGATATTGCTTGTATTCTATTCTAAACAATTTGCGGTTATTTTTACTAGCCTTCTCAGGTAACCTGTGCTTCAGCAGGCATCCCAGGTATCCCTGGTGTTCCAGGAAGTACGTCACATCAGACAGTGACTTTTTTTTGGTTGACATTCGAACAGTGTTGACAATATAAATATATTAAGCCTGGAGCAACTGGTCCTGCTGGTGCGAAAGGAGATCCTGGGAGGCCTGGGAAAAGAGGAAATGTAGAACTTGTGAAGTCAACTTGGAAACAATGTGTGTGGAAAAGGAATGATCACAAAGGCACAGGATTGATACAGGTATTAATATCACTATATTTATTATTGAATACAGTGGCGGTAACGCTCATTGGTTCGGATTAGTTCAAAAACTAAGGGCCCCGACAGTTAGGGGGCCCCATCAGCCAGAAAATTAGAAAACGTAAAAAATGCAGGTTTAAGGATCAATGTGCAAATGCAAAATTAATATCGACAACGGTAGCTGATTTTTTATTCCATCTCAAATAAAACAAAACTTATTCTTATTAGTTGTTACGAGTGTTGGAAAATGTTGTTTTTATAGACACGGAATTTTCCAGAACATTCCATAAATATTTAATATAAATATAATATCTCAGTCAAACAATGACAACAGGGGAATTTAGTGAGGAAATTATCCCTGTAAAACAACCAGCGATGTTGTGTATTTAATGTTTATTGGAATAAGAAATTGTCAGATCTTCAATTTGGGTCAAAGACACTTAACTGAGGCGCGTTTGTGCCTTGTGGAAGCTTATATTACGTATAATAACATACCTAGCATATATATGTTTGGAAAATT